CTGTACTATAGTTATTGCAATATAGTGTAGTTATTATAGATACTATTTGTAAAACTTATACGTTGATTGTTATCTCGTCTTTAATCATGTTTTACTACAGGAAAAACTCGCGGGCTTCCCCTAGATATGTGACTTGTATGTAGAAGTAAATATGTACCTACATCGATTTACTACTTCAACGTTCCTATTGACTGTTGAGTTTGATATACTCTTTTTAGCGATATGAGGAAAGAGAAGGAGAAGTACGTACGCGACACGTGAAAGGACGGAGAACGGCGTGCAATTAGAGGCGGCCGGCGCCAAGAGCCAGCCGAAAGAAAGAGAATACACATCGAGGGAGTACCCTGTCTGTTATCACGGGCACGTTATCACCGTGCACGCATTGCCGCGGAGGACAAGCGCGATTACGCAGTCGCATGACCCGGCTAACATGAGCGGTGTGTACCGTTCGCGAACTTGCATTGCGCGCGCAAATCGATGGACGTGCCGCGCGCGCTTCTGCTCGCCTGCTACTTTATAATAATTACTGTCTCATTAAAATTTGTTATTTAACGTTGTGTTAATTAATTGCAACATCGAGATACGTCCGGTCAATTTGCCGGCCGATGAAAACGCGACCGCGCTCCCACCTGTCCCTGCAAACCCGTCATCACGCACCCTCCTTTCTCCACTGATCCTGCGTTATAACGCTTTCCACGCTCGATGAATATTTATACGCAGGGGGAGTTAACCATCGGTAGTTCAGATTAACGCATCTGAATCTTAATTAACGCGTTCGATGCAAAAAGATGTCAATGTCTTTAATGAAACTCGAAGCGATTACTCGTCGGCTATCGCGAAATTATTACTCGCGTACTACTTGTGTACACGGAGTACGACGTGCGAATGTCTAGTCAGTATTCTGACTCACTGAGTGAAAGAACTTTTACTAAACTGTATATACACTCCAGTTTCTCATAAAATTTGACTTTTCTTACATTTTTGAGGAACGTTAGATTTATTTAAAGTAAAAATAGAAGTATTTAGAACTCATTTTCCTGAATTGCACAATGTCATACGCGAGGGAAAGATACGCGATAAATTATGATCGAAAACACAGTAAACACTCACCGTCTGCGGTTCTGCGTTGATCATTCCTTTGACCAGATTCACATCCTTTTTGCCAGGAACCCAATTCGGTATGTACTGATGATCGTGTACACCAATTCGTACTCTTTCGTAGAGGAACTCGTAGTCTCGGTTCAAGTAATCGGTCATGGTTAATTGATGCAGAAGACTGAGCCTTTCGATGCTGTCTCTGACTTCATCGTTGAAGTTTACGATCGCAGAAGTCTCCGTTTCTACAGTCGATCCACACGGTAAATGCCATCTTGGAACTTGCGATTTTGTCTGTCCGCTTGGTGCGGCGATCACAGCGACAACAAGAGCCGAGATCAACAGGTAACCACGTGCCACGAACATCTTGAAGATCTTTGAGCGAATCTCGAGAATTTTACTTAGAAAATTTGTCACTTTACTGAGATCGTGTTATATTCGAATTACTAAGTCTTCGATCGGCGTTTCAGGTTCGATCGAGCGCGAACGGTTTCGTTTTAGGCGATGTTAACGATCGGCTTGTAATCGTGAACTGAGATTGTCAAACTCTCGTGCTTCCAGTTTATATATGGGTTTCTGTCAGGCCTGTGCCACTCCAGAGCGTGAGCAATTTACACAAGCCTTGTGTAAACAATCGAGTGTACGCACGCAAGTTCGACGGTGGGGTGGCAGCATATATTTTGTCCAATTCCTCGTTGCTCCAGTAGAATCCAGCGGAAACGCTGCTGACTCTTCTTCTTCGAAACGAACTTTTCGAAAATACATCCCACGTGCTGGTTGATTCATGTAACGTTCGTCACGAGACAATCCGCATTCCGGTATTAATTGTTGCGTCAACGTGAATTCGGTAACAAATTCACTGTGCCAATTGCAAAAATGCTCCGATATCTTATCGTCAGTATGGCGGAAGTTGTAAGATTAGGTGTGTCATATCAATCATCGAGAGTTAAGATTATAATCGAGTATCATCATCCCGTTCGTTCTACGTCATGAATTACGTCCCTTCGTTGATGACGAATTACCGATTACCTCAGTGATACCTTTTTCCGAGAAGGGATCAAGAGCATTGACCATCATTGTCAGTAAATTATATTATATTCGCCATTCCTTCAAGAATAAAAATGCGTTATTTTCAAAACTGATGTTATAGTTTAACTTCCTCAGGGATGAATTTTCTAAAATGGAAAGAAATCGATTTCATTATTTTTTTTATTACGATTAGTCTGTTCTTCGACCTGGAATAATTTTAATTTTAAAAAACAGTGTAATGTCCTCCAAACAGTTAATAATTCCTCCATTTATGAATATTTCATCGTAATAAAATAATTAGAATATTATTTACACCAAGAAACGTTAAACGTGAAGAGCATACATTCTTCATGGATTTTCTGCAAATTAGATAATGACCTTTCCAATTTTGTCCATTCTCTTTTTACAAAGTGAGCAACACAATCATATTCCCATCCAAATTTATCTGCATGACGTGTTCACATAAACATGTGTATTACCTACCTATAGGCTAAGCATCGTGGATTTCGCGGATTCCCTCGTTTATAGACGTTTAAACTTTCTTCGAAACTGCCGATACCTGTCATCATACATTTACACAGACTTGTAAGCTTTAGGGAAGTAAATAGATGCAGTTCCGTCAGAGAAGTCTAGCAGAGACTTCGTAAGCTACTTGACAATGAGAACGCAACCACCAGCCTATTTGCATTCTGATTAAAATGAAGGAATCTAAAAACCTAAAAAGTAGACCTAAGCGAGAACTCTGGGTACGACCATAATTATTAGCTCGAAAACATAGTGACACCTTCTAGCGGATATCAAATATTGAATGCATTCTATAAAATGAATTTTTAAAAGAAGAGCTTGCAGCATGTATTTCCAAAAACAGGCGGGAGGATAATACGTAAGCAAGTAAGTATGAAATCAGGCGGTACAATAAGTTGACGTCAAGAGGTCAAAACTTACTCGTTGGGGTCCGAGCATGAAGACCGGAGGAGCAAAAACTAGTGAATGAAGTCTACGTAACGCGCGTAGTTTCCCTCTACGCTACGCTAATTCGACGTAATACATGTTAGACGTGTACCATATATGGTTACGCTATAATTAGATGGTCGTGAGATTCACTGGACTAAAATTAGGTCTGCACATCCCAGATTGGGAATGCATACAGTATTCCGAGTATGATCACGTACATAGTACGTACATCAATACCTTGAAGAAACAAACAATTGCCTCATCTGTTTTAGACGTTAGCGTATTGTAAGAAATAAATTATTCCGGAAATACTTTTACCTCCAGTTGAGTTACGTAATAATTGTCGAGTAAGTAACGAATGTGTACAGTTAGTAACAATGAAACTGAGCTAGTTTGGGTTTGTGTTAGTTTCCCCTAAAGGGACAAAATTCAAAACGAGTAAAAAGTCTACATCTTATTTTTCACTGCTCGATACCGTTGGACTTTAATACAATTTTGACGTGTCAAGTTTCATTGTTACTAGCTGTACATATAGTTATACCATATTTAAATTATGTCAATCCACAAGTCCACTTCATTTTGGTAAGAAATTTTATTTTTTTCACCAGTACGAAAGAAATTATGTTTGTACTTCTATAAGATAAGTAGCTAAGTATATTGTAATGGAACTCAAAAGATAATGAACTAAAATAAAGTAATGATACATTAAAGAATATATATCATTAAATGGGACGTAAACATTTATATGAAAGAATATTGATTACAGCTTTTCCACTTCTCGTGTACTCCTGATACTGAACCTGCTGTTCAGGGTAGTTTTCGAGTCGATACAATATATTTAAAAGTTTAACAAATAATGTGCAAGTAATTAAGTTTTAGGAGCACCTTTGAATTGGTGTCTTACATTTGAATGCGAATTCAAACATCTTTTATAGTATAAGACTTAAGTATCGCGCCAATATATTATTCTAAAATGTCAACTTTACTTTTGTTTGATTCTGTTTAAACAATTTCGGTGGTTATTATCTTCTCGTACCATTTTTATGCATTACTACCAGAGTAATCCGAGTATTAATGTTAATGACCGCTAGTCAGTTGATTCAGAGCATGAATTCGCAAACATTTTATGGAGTCCTGATGCAATTTAGTTAACACGAATGTTACATATAAATGGAAAATTTCCAATTAGTCTGAAATTGTTTAAAATGTATCGTTTAAAACAAGATAGGAAAGTGAAGGATTGATCACTGTTCAATACAAAAACATCGAATTTATTCGAGACGATTACATAAGTACAGAAATGACAATAAATAATAATATGCGATGATAACGTGATATAATAAATAAAATTGTAACGTTATGTACGCTTACATGTACGCAAGAATAAATATACTACTACGTATACTTGATAAAATGCAACTAAAATCCTTATGTATAAACGTGTGTGTATGTACGCGTTTGTGTACGTGTGTCTTTGTGTATAAAACGTTCAGTATCACGTCGGTTGTAAATATCAAGTAGAAAAATACGTAGCGTTAAAGTACATGTACATCGAAGTACCGATCTGATACAATTTGAAGATTGATTGTCTTGCCAATATAAGTATGTTCTCGTTTCAACAAAGAAGTACTTTTGCGCAGCACACGCTCGCACTTTTAATGCGTATATTAATAACTGGACTGCGAATGTTTATGTAAATTCGTAAGTACAATTAAACATAATGAGATAAAGATTAATTATCTGGAGGTCCCTCCGCATTTCATACTATTATTGCACATACAATTTAAAAAAAAAAATCTAATTAAACATTCGCAGTCTACTAATCTGTAAATACATGAACTGTGAAATTGGTCCCCCGTTATTTCAATAATCGATCATGTGACCTCGATAACAAAACGGTATTAAGTATCTTCTTAACGTTAGAATAACTTGATATCGACAAAATGGTATATCTTAGATCTTTCGTTCTGAATAAAATTAATAAAATATTTACGTATTCAAAAAAATTAACCCGAGTATAGAATAATAAAAGATATATAGAATAATCGAAATTTATTCTTTCGTTTTCGACAACTCTTAAATACGTGGTTGTTCTAATGTTGTGATAACGTGTATTTGAAAATTGTTCGTTTACATTTGAGCGTGGTCAAGAAAGAATTTTGTCATGTTCGTAACAAGCCGAGATTCTACGGACTGACGAGGAAACAAATTAAATAGGGGAAGTAATGACATTTTACACCTAAGCTTGCATTACCGCGAACGCATAAAAGCACGTTACATACTTACAAATAGATATATAATGTGCCTATGTATAAAACGTAGGAACTCTGTACGTCCACGTACGCTCAAGATATCACAGCTAAACGACATTAAGCTTTCGTCCGCTTACTGTTAAAGCTACAATAAATAAAGTTCGATAAATCGTCTTGTTCGGTGTGATTAAACCGACGACTGTGTGCTATCGTTTTCACGTTGTTTCGATGTCACTCGGTCCTCGAGTTTTATCTTGACGAGTGCACTCGTAACCAGCCGCGATTGATTGAATTGCTGAAAGTGCGGGAGCATTGTGTGCAATGCGAAAAGTCGCATACTAGCAATTTCTCTTACATGTATGCGGATCGTCAATTTTTACGCAAACTCGTGTTCAAGTAAAAAATCCCAAAAATGAAATCCAAGTATGCAGACAATTATCTTGCACACCATATTTTATACCTCGTACTTTGAACGTTACATACAATCTTAAATTTTAAGATACATAAACATTCACGAAAAATTATATAAACTTGACGCGAGAACTAATTTGAGGATACAAGTGGACAAAAACATGTCAAATTTTTAAAGCGCTGGTATTTGTCCTAATTTTTTTGGTTCACGATCGTAATTATAAGATTCATTTAAATATTCTGAGACCCCAATTTATTTTATCTGTTTTTCTTAGAGTAAAAGATGAAGTGTCACCATCTTAATTTGGAATCAATCTCTTCGCACATTTCATGTATTTGTTGCATTTAATTATGCGCATGTGCTTATTACTTTACTACCTTTTTCGCACGTACACACAATGCGATGAATTCACGTTCGCTGAAATTATCTCGTAAAGTGAACCAATCTAAACGCGTCATACGTATCGCTCTTTATATCAATGTTATTAACTATCCTAGTTATTGTATGTTATTTTAGTATAATACTGTTCTGAACTACGGTTCTTAATACTGGTCTCTAGTATACAACTCGATTCGCAATAATAGTTTTATAGAGCTATCGAATGCAGCAGTTGTCGAAAAGAAAACGGTGAACCATCGTTTAAGATCACCGATCTCGTCTAATTCTATCGCGAAATTCTTAACGCTATACCATCGGAACAAACTGGCAAGATTGCAAAATACTAAGCATCTACGAATGATCGTAACGATAAAAATAAATAAGAAATACACACACACGAGTGATAATACAAAGAATATTAAAAAAAAAAAACCTTTCGCGAAAGATTGACAGGCAAATAATTTGAATATACTGATGAAACGCTAAAAAAAAAATATAAATAAAGAGTTATAAAAAAAGAGTAATACCACACGCACGAACAACGAATCTCGAAGTGTCTAAAAGGAACTAACGGGTTTACACATTTTCTATACGTTATCTTAAATGCCTTTTAAATTAATACTTGTCAAAAACGTGAAATATCTATAACACGATATAAAGACGTATCAATCGCAACGATATAGAGGTTGTTGCTACAAGGATACGTGATTGCCTGTTAACCCTTCCTATTAAAAGACGATCTTGTAAAAATGAAGGAAAGAAACCTTATAAAACGAATTTCATCATATTCCCACGATCTTCTTTCGCTTGTTCCTCAACAGCCTGCTCCTTGGAACACCTTTTATTGGTTTGTGAGGCAAGGAACTCTTTCGACCAGTAGCATCCGGTCGTCTCTTAATCACTGGCCTTTTTTGCTTTTTAATCTTCGGTATTCTTTTACCCTTTGGCCCAGATCCTTTGTTTACGTGTTTGGGTATCGGACTTTGACTGTTAGGATCACAACTTCCTGAGCCAATTGCAGTCGCGTTACGAAATGCTTTCGTCCAATCGTTCAAGAACACCTGGTAGAACCTGATAACTCCCCAATCTTGAATTAACATCTGGGTCAGGTCGCCTTCCATCGCCCAATTCACATTTCTGGCAACGATTTTCGCCGTATGAGCCGGAGGAATCTGCAAGCCTAAGTTCAAAATTGCAGTCTCCACTTCGCATAACACCTGAAACATAAAGAAAACATTTTTCTATTAAATTAAGACTCGAAGTTATTTCTTTCTCTCTATTTGTATTCATGTCAAACAATTCTATGGAAAAAATTGAAACTCGGTTCCAAAAATATGAAATTATCGGTCGAAAAATAATTTATTAATTTTGAATTTGATTTAATACGGTTTAGTATGATAAACATGTTCGACGTACCCTAAGAATCTCGTTATACATTTCGTTAATAATCTTGTTTCGCCTCGTCATTGTGAAGTCTACGTCAATGTTGGATTTCAGTCGGAAAGTGCTGAGATAATGGAACGTGATGGCGAACTTTTGGAGCGAATCGTGAAGATGCGGAAGCGCGCGGTCAGCTTTCTTTCCCTTCTCGAGACACCAAACCTCCCTGTAATACCATTCGAACTCCCTCTCCGGAAGCCACGGCATTGCTCCCCGGTACTGCTCCTTCAGCTCTTTGTACACCTGCGAATGAAAGTTGAGATATTGTTTTGTCTAAATATTTTTACTTAACACATAGTCGACGTTACGATGCGCATATTCGATTTCTTGGAAGTTACTCAAGCGCAAACCGGATCGCGGCGTACAGTTCGTAGAAATTAACGAAAGAATTTCAACCGTAAGGGTGCGAAACCTCATTGCGGCGATTGTTTAAAATTGCATGCTAAACGAATCTGTTGTCCCAAATTCGGCTTCGTCGAAATAACGAACGTCAGGCAAATTACGAAATCCTATGCTTTCATTCTAACTCGATCGTTTGATTGATAATGATAACAGTAGCATTAACCCCTAGCCCTAGCGACGTCGAATTATTGTTGAAAAAATGTAATTACGCTCGTGCGTGGTGGATCGTAACGAAATGCAAATTACAGACAGAATGGAAAGTAGGACTTGAGCGCGCGCGCTAGCAACGGTGCACGTGCGAGCCTCCGTGCGAGAGCAGCCGCCCACTCTCTTTTACCCCGACGCGACGCGGTTCAGCGATTAATTACGAATTGCGGTCAGGTCGAACGAAAACGTCATCGGTTTTACCTTCGAGTATATCTCGCGCACATCATTCAGATGCTTCTTGAAGTGGTCCTGGGCGACGCGTAACTGTGTTCGCACCCTCTTCAGCGTTCGATGTGCGCTGTGCCGCTGCGACATTCCCTTCAGCAGCATCGACACGGGGTTACCGCAGGGTTGCAACCAACGGTCCATGCTGTTCGCGTTGGACACGGCAGTCGGGAAGCCGTAAGCAGGTGCGGCCAAGACCGTGTTCAGACCCGAACACAGAAAAAATGCAAGGCTCGTGAAAGTGATCGTCTGTGCCACCGAATCTGTAACAGAGATCGAAATAACGAATGTCAGAGAAACGTTTTATATACAGATTTGCGTGGTGGTTTCATTGACTTTCAGCAACGGCTTGTCTAGATTGCGAGTGATTTATAACGACGCAGTGAGGTTGTATTAACCTTCAAACGGTCGCGCCCCTGATACCATATCCTTCGCTCGACAATTAACAAATCAAAAACAAACAGTATTGTGCAATGATCAGAGCGCGCCAGATTTGACTTTCCTCTTTCCGAAGAGGTACCTGACGACCAAAAAATATTCTCATATAAGGACGATAAGTGTGACCAGAGGAAACATTGACATTCTGTCTTATCGCGCCGATGTCAGAGTCTACCCCCCTTAAGGAGATTCTTCGAACAAAAGGTAACCAGAAAAGATGACCAGTATTGTAATTCATACAACGAGAGTGCTGGTTGGTCTCGTTGTCTAAGGATGCAAGCGGTCGACGTGCGTATTGAATGACTTAATTTCGATTTAAATTCAAATAACGTGCCGTGTCATTCAGAACGTTACGGTACGATGCATTGTAAATATACCTACTCGCGCATAGGTCTGATTTTGAAACACGACGCTGCGCACTCCGGATCGTGTAATAGAGATTGCATTGTACCAACGACGTACATATACGTTCATTTTGTGTTTGAATAAAAATGAGTGAACACAAGCGATTGCACAGACGCTTCTTTTCTAATCTACGTGCACGGTGGGAGTCTGTGAAAAAAAATTCACGATCCGCGCGAAAAGTCTGTCACTAGTTAAACCCCGGACAAATAAAGAGAGTGGATGGTATGTACTGCGATGGAAGAAAGGTCGCATGCCGTTTCTCGCCCGAGGGTACGATAGAGAGATCGCCGAGGAGAGAGAAAAAGAGGAATAGGGAGAATCGAGGCTCTTCCGACTTTCACAGTCGGCGTATCTACATGAATACATGTAGGTACCTACCATTGCACCTACGCGCCAATTTAACAGCGACCAATCGTCGCCCCCGCAGTAGGAAATGGGTTGCAAATCGGAGAATCAGGATTTATTGCGCAATTAAACGTCCCAGCTTACGACTTCCTTCGCGATTTCATATACCTCGCGAACTCACCCCGAAGGCGTGCGCGGATCTTTCGGACTTTTTACGAGGCCAGACCCCCGCCGGTTAATAAATTTCGCACCACCTTCATTATCGTCGGATTTTGTGTAAACTTAAACGGAAATGTCGATTAAAACTGATTTATCTATCGTTTTCGTAAAAGGAGTCTAACTTTCTACCAAAGGTTGTAATAGCCGCTGATGTCATTTAACATTAAACATGATGTGATTAAACATAAAAAATATTCTAATTGTAATACAGTGTCTGACAAGGAGATCTCTCGTGAATAATTCGTCAAACTTGGAAAATGCTGAGAAATACATAAAAAACGTTCACCCCATGAATTTTGAAAAATTCGCAAATTTGTTTTTCAGCAGTTAAATGTTTTATTTTGCATAAACATCCGTTGTCTACTTATGACACTCCGGAATATAGAAGAAAGCTACTATCCAAATTTTGTTGTAGTCATTTTTCAAATTTTTGCTAACATACAAACGAACGCCTCTCTTTATGCGTAAATAGTAATATAATGGATGCTTAAACATGCACGGTGCAACAAGGAGGAATACAATTTAAATGGGATTCTTGTAGGTATCGTCTACGACACAGCTTAGGCGAGAAATAAATTCAGAATCGACAGCGGTATCGAGCGTGCCGACAAAGAACTCGTGGACCACCGCGTGGGTAATTAACGCACGTTAATTGTCCGTGCGTGCGTGTACACTCACGCACGCGGCACCGATGCGTGTGTACAGACGCGAGCTGTCACGCTGATTCGATACGATCGTTCGTGCAATTCGCACGTCAGTCACGCGTGAACGAACACAAGTCTTAACGCAACGCGTTGCGCAGCAAGAGCGCAGGTCACGTGTGCGCTCCGTTGTCGATGGTGCGCATCTCGCGCTCACCCCTCACGCACGGTCCTCCTCGATCGGCTTCGGTTCTTCGAGCAGAGTAAGTGATTAATTGAAAACCGTGTCCCATACTGCTTTTCGATCATAAATCAAAAGCGCCTTAACCGTAACTGGTTCCAAGGATCCGCAACGTGTTCTTGTCATAAGTTAAGGATACACGTCGTTAGCGGTCGTAAGACTCGTAAGGTGTTGCGCTCGACGAGGGAAAAATCAACCTCGGAACGAATGCCAGATGATATCGCATCTAATGTCGATATTTCACTCGCAAACACCGATTGCCAATAACGCGCGTCACGAGATGAAAATCGACTGTGCGATCTAGTTAACTCTCAATACAGTCAATTTGAGCGATTGTGACAAGACGTAACGCGTTCACAATGAGCGTCGACGCGTTCGGCGTTATCAATCGTCGGGCACCATTGAAAATCGTTCCCAGGATCCTTCAACTACCGAGATTGAAACAGCATTCAAGCATTAACCGTAAAGTTCTAACGAACGTGACCCCGGTGCATATTTGAATATGGATTTAGCTTGACAATAAGTCACGATTCGATTAGCCGGTTACGCTGCGTCGCGGTTGCCCCGAGACCGAGGGGGGCTGAAAACGTCGCGTCGCCCGGTGTATCTTATCGTAAACTCACGCCTCCTCTTCTTCTCCCGGAATTGCTCCGCGCCTGGGTCCAGCCGAGTCGTATTGTCGGATATGCAGCACGTCGCGTAGGCGTACCGCAGCCGCTGTTAAAGGTGCACCCCATATTGTGTGTACTCCTAACGACCGTTGCTCCCAACGATATCAATGCGCGTCGCTATTCGCTCTCACCTTTCTACATTTTCTTCCCCTTTTCACATAAAGTACAAGCATGCACCCTCTACATAAGTAAGGTAAATCTCCCGATCCCGACTCACGTTCCGATTTCTACGCATTGGCGTATTTTTCTATAATTTCTTTATAATAATAATTTTAAGGTGTGTATTTCAAGTCTTAATTTGAAAGGAAAATTGATTGTGAATAATTTTTGCCGGATTCAGCTGAATGTATATTAAATTCCACATGCGGAAGCACCTTCCATTATAAATTCTGATTTGTACCGTATTTAGTACCCAAAAGTTTGTGCACTTTAGAAACGCATTTTTTAAAAAGAAATCAGACGTCGGAAGAACATTGCTAATAATAAACAACAACAAAAAAATTTTCGATTTTTCCGAGATTTTTCCTGACTGTATAGCCAATACATCCTTAACCATGTTTGTCCATCGAGGTGGAGATGTTACTATTACTTTGACAACTGAACGTGCCAATGAAACCGGACTTGGCTCGTTCTTCAGATTAATTAGATATTTGAAAATCGGGACAGAATTTCAGATCGTAATCTTCACGGTTTATAATAACGGTGCTATTCGGACATGGTCATCCCGCTTCGAATGATCCGCATTCCGGGCAATGTCGTGTTAAGAAGATTGCTCACTCCCGTTGTTTAATACGCAGGTTCGTGGCCCGGTCGATCGTTTCTCAAAGTGGTATCGCCGCCATTCTCGCGGATGGATTCCCTGGATGCCAGTTGTCGGCCGATCGGTCGACCCTCCGGTGATTTGGAGAAAAGAGGTGGAGGAGAGGGTGGAGAGGGTAGAGGGTCTTTTTCCGCGGAGCTCAGGATGAAGATTGTTGGTTTTGCTATACCGAGTATACCGGCAGTGGTGAATGCCTCGGGGCGGCAAAAGGCGGTTGCTGCTTTCTGAGAACGGATCGGAGTCGGCCGTGCCGCGCCGCGCCGCATCGCACCGGGAGCGGTGATTGCGTGGTGATTAGCCTCCACCTTCACCTCTTTGGTCCGGCTCGAACAAGAGAGAACACGAAGCGACGGGGAAAAAAGGGGGCGAGTGTCCAGATGGAAAGAGAGCTACACCACCGATTGTCTTGGAAGAAAGAGCGGAATATCATTGCCCAGGCACGAGTGTGGGAGCAAGTTGTTCGATACAACACCGTTCGAGAGTATTCCGCGTATGAATCTGAAAAGTAACGCGTCGGGACTTGCAGGATAAGTATGCGCGTACTGTCACGTGTATGTATCACCGACCGGCAACGCGCAACAGGCGAACGTGTCGCAGGAGGCAATAATAAATAAGATATCCACGTTTCCAGACGAAAGAAATGAAATAGTAACGCGTAGAACACTTTCTTGGGCTCAATGCCTGTAAGCATTTCAATAAAGCATGAACGTCTGATCTTAAGCGTACGGAGTAAAAGAAAATCATGCAAATAGTGATTAAAATGTCTCCATGATTATTATTGTTGTTTAATGAGAATCTAAGGCTTCGTCAATTAACTCTTCTTCGTCAGGCACAGCATCAGTTTTAATTTTTTTCAATATCGACAAATTCTAAATATTCAAATTTTTCTCCGTCAACTGCATTTGCTAAGCAAATGTTGATGTTATGTGCTGGTACATTATCATTTTTGACGCAGTCTGACCAGATTCCTGTCATTATTATACGACGTATAAATCATTTTAAAAAAATCGTGTAATCGTAAATAAGTCGTTTTAAAAAAATTCTATGTAAAATGAGGATTATATGCCCTTTAAGGGGATACGTAAATCTGTCCTGAGGTAATATTTATTTATCAATTGCTTTTAAAATTTGCTGCAGAAGAGTGCAAGGTTCTAATAACAGTATAGAGAGTCAAATATTAGAAAGCACATTATACCATGTCGAAACGTATGCACACAATTTGTCAGCGCGACGTTATTCAGAATGGTAAGTGGGACGCGTTTCTGCACCCCTCCTACACCTCTCCTTTGAATCTTGGCGTACATACGCAAAGCACGCGCGTACACGCGTCTACGCAAAAATCGTGTTCGTACACCGAAGGTGTACCATCCTCATCCGCAGCTACGACCTACGACAACAGTATCGAACGCTGAATGTGCGAGCCCATGGTGGTCACCATAGGAAGAAGCAGGTTATGCACGGCACGCAACATTTAATACAATAC